AAGGGCCCAGTGGGACTCTCTCAGCACGTATTTATTGCATCTCTGCCCCACATTCCAAAAGTCTAAAAGACAGCTGGGTGTGGAGGTGCACACCTATATAATCCCAGCACTCCGGAGGCTGAGGCAGGAGGATCACAGTGAATTCAAAGCCATCCTGGGCTTCATAGTGAGTTCAAGGCCAGCCTTGAACTAGTGAGACCCTGTCTCACAAAAAATCATAATACCATTTCAACCATTTTCAAACACAGCTTTAAAGCACCTTCTCATCATTGTACTACTGTCACATTTATCCATCTCTAGAACTTTTTTTATCTCCCAAACTGAAACTCCACACCCATTAAACAATAACTTCCCCCTGTCTCCTCCCCTCACCATTCTACTTTCTGGCTCTATGAATTTGACTGCTCCAAAACCTCACAGAAGTAGGATTGTACAGTATTTGTCCTCTCATAACTGGCTTGTCTCACTCAACACAGTGTCCCCCAGGTTCACCCATGTTGTAGCATGTGTCAGATTTTCTTCCTTCCTAAGGCTGCACAATACACTATTCTGTCAATCAGCTTTCTGTCGCTATAACAAAACACTTGAGAGAATTAACTTGTAAAGAGAAAAGTTTGGCTCAGAGTTTTGGAGATTCCAGGCTGGGTCACTTAGCTCATTGTGTGGGCCTGTGGGGAGGCAGCAGAGCAAAACCATTCAACTCATGAGCCGGGAAGCAAGAGAAAAAGAGACCGGGTCCCACAATCCCCTTTGAGGGCCTCCGCAATGACCTAACAGTCTCCCAGAGGTGCCACAGCCTCCTGCGAGCACACCCCTGAGGACCAAGCTTTCCCTGCGTCCCCTTCTGAGGGACATTCAGCATGCAGACTGCAGCCCACATTATGTTTCCTGTATCTGGTGATGGATGCTCCTGTCCTTTTAATCTTTTGGTTATTGTGAATAACACTGCTGTGCACGTAGGTGTGAACATATCTGTTCCAGTCCCTGCTTCCAGAAATGGGATTTCTGGGTCATATGGTGACTCTATTTTAACTTCTGAGGAACTCTTGTGCTGTTTCCTACAGTACCCGTGACATCTCCTGTTCCCATCAGCAAGGCAGATGAGCTCTGACTTCTCCACATCCCCCCAGCACTGTGCTCTTCTTTTTTCTAGTGGGTGGAAGATGGTATCTCATTGCGGTTTTTATTTGATCAGTAATGTTGAACTTCTTTTCATAGGTTTGTTGGCCATTTGTTTATCTTCTTTGGAGAAATGTCTATTGAAGTTCTTTGCTCATTCTTGTTTGTTTGTTTTGAGACAGGGTCTTACTTATGTAGTCCAGGCTGGCTCAAATATACTATGTATCCCAGGCTAGCCTTGAACTTGCAGCAATCTTCCTGCCTCTGCCTCCAAAGTGCTATACAGGGATGTGCCACCACATCCAGCATTTGCTCATTCTTTAGTTATATTGGTTTTTGTTATTGGGTTTTAGGTGTCCTTTACCTAATCTAGATATTAACTCCTTACCAGATGTATGATTTACAAATGTTTTCTCCTGATCTGTGGTGCATTTGCATTCTGTTAAGAGAGCATTTCTGATGCACAAAAGCTTCTAATTTGATGTATCCCACTTTATTTGTACTTCTCTTGTCTGTGCTTTGAGTGTCATATCTGAGGAATTATTAATAAATCCAGTGCCATGAATCTTAATGTTTTCTTCAAAGGGTTTCATAGTTTTAGCTTTTGTGCGTGTGTGTGTGTGTGTGTGTGTGTGTGTGTGTGTGTGTGTGTGTGTGAATGTACTGGAGATTGAACTCAGGGCCTTCAAACTGAGCTATGTCCCCAGCTTGGTTTTTTTTTTGTTTTTGCTTTTTTTGAGACAGGGTCTAAGTCACCAAGTTACCCAGGCTGGGCTCAAATTTGCAGTTCTGCCTCAGCCTCCTAGAGTGCTGGGATTACAAGTGTGCACCACCATACCTAACTCCAACACCATTTCTGGAAAGGTGTCCTTTCCACCACTAAAGAGCCTTAGTGTCTTTGTCGGCAAATATTTGACCACATATGGAAGGACATATGGGCTCTCTATCCTATTTCATTGGTCAATATGTCTCCCTTATGCCAATGCCACACTGTTTAGACTATTGTAGTTTTTATAGTAAGTTTTGAAATCAGGAAGTATGACATTTCCAACTTTTGTCCTTTTTTTTTTTTGGCTATTCAGGATCCCTTGAGATTCCATATGAATTTCAGGATGGATTTTTTTCAATACTTGCTTAGGAAGTCACTGAAATTTGGTAGGATTGCCTGTGAATCTGTGTATTGCTTTGGGTAGTACTGACATCTGTTTTAGCCACCTTTCCATCACTATGAGAAAATACCTGAGAAAACCAACTTATGAGGAAGAAAGTTTTATTTTGGCTCAAGGTTTCAGTCCATGGTCCACTAGCTTCATTGGTTTAGCAGTGAGTCACAGCAGGGAGCATGTAGCAGTGCAAGCTGGTTACCTCATGGGAGCCAGGAAGCAAAGGGGCCAGAGTCCCAATATCCCCTTCTAGAACACCCTCCCAGTAACCTCACTCCCCTCCACTGGGCTCCAATTCTTTTTTCATTTTCACAAATAATAACATTTTAGAGACATTATTCTCCCACTTGCTTTTTCCATGCCTAGCCTACCTTGGGAATAGTTTTGTGTAAGTATCAAAGTTACTCTTCTTTCTTCTTAATAGCTGTGAGCTGGGGATGTAGCTCAGTGGTGCCACCACTTGCTCAGTAAGTGGAAGGTCACAAGTTCAATCCCCAGTACCAAAAACCAAACCAAAACAAAACTGCATAATACTCCAGTGGGTATTTGTGCCATGATGTGTGTGGCAGACATTTGGGCTGTTTCCAGTTTTTGGTATTACAAATGGTGTAGATGAACATTAGAGTTACTCTTGAATTATATTTCAGAGTCCTGGCTCATACTGAAGACCCTTAGGAGAAATGGTTGTTATACCCATTGCTCACTACATCGCAAAGTCACCTTGGGTGGACCCAAAGGGGACCCATGTTTCAGTATGGCAGTGCTTCTCCCGGGAAGTTCTGTTTTCACTTTATGGGCTCTGTGGTTCCTGCATGTAATTGTTCATTCTTTGTTTTGGCCACTAGGGTCAGTAGGGCCGAGTTTATGGTGCGCATTCGTAACTGTACAGGACAATTTAGTGCATGCTCATGGATGCTGATCTTGCTCTTTCATTCTTTTCATTCCCTTATTTTCTTTTCACTTCAATTTCCAAAGCTTTCTTTTCTTCCTTGAGATTGCATATATTTTGCAAGCCATCTCCAGTTCTTTAACAAAGTGGGTATAAATAAACACATTCTACACGAGTGCGTCCATCATGCAGAAATGAAATACATGGTTTTTTGGTTTTGGTACTGGGGATCGAACTCTGGTCCTTGTGCTTGTGAGGCAGGTGGCAGAACCACTGAGCTAAATCCCCAGCCCGAAGTCCGTGTTTTTGACCTCTTTTCCCCTGCACTGCCCAGAGTGACGCATTGGCCTGCCCCTCTCTGAGCCTCTGTGGAAGTCCCCAGCCCCCTCTGTGCCCCTGCGCCCCAGCAGCCTCACTGTGACCTTCTGGCCTATTGCCCCACTTTTGGCCCCTCCTGCCCAGACTGACTGGACCCCCACGCTCTGTAAAACCTTTCCCAGAGCTGGGATGGAGGGGCCGGAGGTGGGGACCCGAAGGGGTGCTGAGGTACTGGTGTGGAGGGGCAGAGAGTGGAGCAGAAGGAAGGGATCCCTGGTGGCCATGCCTTCCCTGGCGCATGGACGGCTCTGGGGTCCTGGCCCATGCCACCCTCGCACCTTCGTCATTTGGCTGAGGGGCCCAGTCGCTTCATCCCGCCCACCAGCGTTCTTTCGCCTCAGTGTGAGAAAGCAATTTGCATCCAGCCAGCAGGATTAAGTAAGATGGATGGAGGGAGCTGGAATCTGATCTCGAAAACCTCTTTCATTCTGCAGAGGAGGCCCCCGCAGGCCAAGTTCCAGCTTTGGCTCGTCTGCCTCCGAGATGGCAGCGCTGCAGTTGGAGAACCAGACACATGTGTGCCCTCTCCGCTGGCCTCCTGCTCCTTCGGGAGCCGATTAATCTGGGGCAGGCACCTGAGGAGGGCTGTGGGAAATGGGCATTGCACTGCCAGGTCCGGGTTCTGTCTTGGGATGGGGGCTCCAGGAGAGGCCAAAGCAGAGGGCCAGGTTCTGTCCAGAGCCCAAGGAGACTTTTCCAGGCCTCAGTGTCTTCCCCACAAAATGGCCTTTAACATCCTTGAGCTCAGAGTCCTTGCGAAGGTTAAAGAATAACAGATGGTGCCTTTCTGACTCCTGTCATACGCCTGTCATCAATCTAAGTGCTTTACACACAGTATCTCATTTAATCCTACAACAAGCTGAGGTGTTATTATTCCTATCTTTCAGAGAAGGAAACGGAGGCCCCAAGAGTGTAAGTAATCTGCTTGAGTTCACACTGGTGAACTGGTGAGAGAGAGCTGGGATTTGAACCCACGTACTCTTGTCTTGGGAGTCTTTGCCCTGCAGCACTGTGCCCTGTCTGCAAAGGGGCCCCTGTAGTCCCCAGTGCCAGAAAGATACATATTCAAGGCATAGTTCCTGGTATCTGAGCCACTGACCCTGGCTGACAGGAAGAGGGTGCTCTGGCAGCTCTGCCCTCCTTCCCCCTTCAGAGATCAAGACTCTTCTTGGCTTGCCTGATGCCAACCTCCGCCATGTACCCAGCACCTTGGTCTTGAGTCACAGGCCCCGTTTACAGCTTTGTCTCTCCTGCTCCTGACCTCCTGCCAATGCCTTGCCTTCCTGTATCCCAGCACTCTGCACAATTCTTGATAATAATTGATGCTTTCTGTTCACTTAGAAACTGTTTCTTTTTTTTTTAAAGATAATAACCCAAATTTATTATTAGATTTCATTAGAAACATCAAAGGGGAATGAAATGTTGTAAAAAAAAAAAGTAGGCAAAAAATAGTGATATAAAGCAAATAAACAGACATGCAAGTGTGTCTCCTGGAAGAAGAATCCATGGTTGAAAAGACACCTCCCTGAGTGATGCTGGTGGGCACTGCTCAGTGGTCAACCCTGGGAGCCGAATGAATGGCCATCAGCAGAGGATGCGGGACAGCTGTGCTCCACCCCCATGACGGTGCCACCACTGAGGAGGAGCAGCGCGCAGGGATCCCAGCCTGGTGTTACTGCTGGAAGAAGACCTGCCGGAAACATTTATACTGAATGGTTCCAGCTCCACCCTCTCTACTCCACCAAGGACAAAAAGCACGGGGTCAGCTTGGGATGAGAGGACAGGAGGGGATAGCAGCGCCCCAAGAGACGTTCCCAGGTGATGCGTGAGAGTGTTCTGCACCCCCGCTGGGTGGGAGGTTTCACAAAGGCTGCTGTCCCCTCGCACTGTCTCTGCACTGCATACTGCACTTTGGGTTGAGTTCGGTATCTGTGCTTACGTAGCTATCCATGTGCACTTGAAAGTTACGACCTGCTGTGAATCCTCCACTCCTGGCCACCCAGGGGTTATCAGCTGAAACTTTTGTATCCTTTAAAGAAAATTATATTGGACATTTTGGGATCATCTCCATAGTCCCTATTGGAATCGAAAGGCAATTGAAGTCAACCCAGGAAAGAAAATCATCCTCAAATCCATCCGATCTCTAAGTGCTGACATGAGCACTGTGTCTTGAGAGAGAATGGACCCTTTGGATGGGAAAGCACACTTTTCTCTGTGCCTGCTGGATCTTAAGCATCTACACATTTGCCGAATTAAAACTTCTGATTCATCAGACTCTAACATCACAGGCAGCTTTTCTAGCTTCTCATTGCTATTTCTAAGGAGCACACAGATAGATGTGTTCCACCATGAAAGGAAGGGGCCCCGGGGCCTTCTCATCAGAGGGGGCGGTTTGGCTTATGACCCTAGCACTACGACCTCACTTCCTTGGCGACAGGTCCAAACAGAACTCGGAACCCTGGAGTCACCGGGCACCACAGTCCAGTGGCGGCTGCCCAACAGTCACTTGGCTGGAGAGAGTCAGCAGCGATCATGCTGTGCCACTTTCCCAGGCCGCAGCAATAGGACCCCCCGCAGGGAAAGCACTTAGGCGCCAGTGAGAGGATGGATGGCTAAGTCCCCGTGCTTCAGGCCACTCACCAGGAACTGCCTGGCCTTCAGGGGCAGCACAGGGCGGGTCTCCCCAGACCCAGAGACCTGGGGACCTAAGATGAGCGGGAGCCCAGGGCAGATCTCCCTGGACCTGGACATCAGACACTCAGGGCCACCGAGTCCAGGACAGGTCCAGTTAGGCCCGGCCACCACTGTGAGTCCCCTGTGTAACTCCCGCCCTTCTTCCTCACTTTGAGGAGGGTGGGGGACGAGGTCATGAGGGAGGCTCCTCCTGGCCAGGGGCAGGTGTGGGAGGCTGTGAGCCCGGGGCCCTGGCCTGTGCCCCAGGACGGGGCTGAGAGGAGGAGAAGGGCAGTGCCCAGGGATGATCCACAGCCCGCAGGGCCTTCTCCTGTCCTCTGGGGTAGAAGCCTGAGACAGAGCTGTTTGTGTTTCAGGAGCACAAGGTTACCCGGGGCAGAAACAGCACAAACTGTGGTCAGGCAGAGCCTTGTGCTTGCTGCCGGCTGCCGGGCACTGTCCCCACAGAGCTGCACACAGGACACTGTGTCACTTCCGTCCTGTCACGGCTTTATTCTGCCGTGTCACCTCAGGGCAACTCCTGGCTAGGGCCCATGTGGTACCCACAGGGGCTACGTGACCTGCACAGGTGGCAGTGAGCACAGCTGGGCAGCCTCTAGGACCAGGAAGTGGGCCTGACTTTTTCTGAGCTGTTAACAGACACCAGAGACGTGCTGGCCTCGCAGGAGGCCTGGAGCCAGGCTGAGCCTCGTTTTCTCTCTCCACCACGAAACCTGAGGTTGGGTGGGCTCTTCATGCCCCAGGCCATGACCTCTCCTTGTTAATGAGCCATGAATCGGTAGCATTTCTGTGTGTCCCTTCTGAAATTACCTTCTAACATGCATCGCTTTTCTGCCGGGCCCATTTGCGCCCCTTCTGTTACAAGCCATGATGGCGACTTGCAGAGTGGTCTGGGCTTCGGCCTCCAGCCCTCCTGATGGCCTGGGTGGGCCCCAGTTCCATGTCTCCTCTCAGTTCCGTCACAGATTGGGACCCAACGGGAGGAGAGCGGGGCAGAGGACTGCATGGTGAGGACGGCGCTGGCAGGCAGGCAGCGCCCCTGAGGGAGCCCCCGGAATGGGACTTCCTGGACAGCCGCCCCATCCACACAGACTCCCTCCTGGACCCCTCTGGGGCCTGCATTCCCGCCCTGCAGGAGGGGATGGTGCGAAGGGGAGCTCTGTGGTCGGCACCCAGGGGCACTTGGCCACTGTGGCCCCAAGTCTTTGGAAGGTATGAGCCCTGCCTCAGCCTGCTCGCAACTCTGAGCAACAGGGCGCTGAGAAAATCGGGCTCTGGGCATCACTGCGGGGCAGAACTGGGGTCTCCAGGGCAGTGCTGACCCGGGCCTGCCGGATTCCCTTCCATCCCTGGCCGGCTGTGCTTTGCCCCACTGAGCCCTGCACAGGGGAAGGCTATCCGTTCCCTGTAAAGGAGACTGCAGAGTGACTCGGCAGGCCTCTGGTCTTCCCAGAGCAGGAGTCTGTGGGGATGTGAAGGGCCCAGGCCCACTGACATCAGGGAAGAGCAGGTGGGGTCCCCATTCCATGGACGTATGTGAAGACACTGTGTGCAGACCTTTCCCAGGGCTCAGCTGTGATCGTCAGTAGCCAGAGCAGATGCAACCCCTGCCCTCTGGGGCTTCAGTGCTGTTTGGGGTCCTCAGTCACCCTGGACAGCTGAGCAACCATTCCTTGAACTGCAGTAGCTGGCACTTTCCCAGGCTCCCTAGGTGTGGATCCACAGCAGTGCAAGAGGAGCCCAGGAGCGGCATAGACACCGGGCAGCACAGCGCTGCAGAGCTAAAGCCTGAAGAAAGGGGGGCGGGACAGATGCCCACTGTCCCCCACGTCTCAGATCGTTACAGAGCAGTGGCCCTGTGCCCTTGAGTGTAACACGCAGCAGACACCAGACTCTGTCCTCATGCAGCTGACGGTGGGGACGGGTGGGCAGATGGTGTGTTGGGCTGCCCTGAACAAGGCAGAGGCGGTCGCACCCCAGAGCACGGAGCCTCCTGTTAGGCTTTCGGGCTGCCTGGGCCAGCACTGCCCCACTGGGCATGGAGAGGGTGGGGCTGGAGCACTCGCAGCTGGGCCAGGAGGCCTACTTGTCCATCTCCGCATGTTCCCTGGACAGGCAGCATGGAAGGAAAGGCCAGGCCTCTCTCTCTGCCTCCTACCTGCCTTTCCAGGTCCTCCTTTTTTGTCCACCATTCCCGGTGGAGCTGCACTCCCAGGAGACTCCACCAGCTGAACTCCTGTCCCAGCTGGAGCAAGCTGAGCCCACTGAGGCACAGCCCACGGGTGAGGAGGACGGGGTGTGGGCCTGTGGGCATGAGGGGAGGGATGGGCCTTTAGACACAGAGACAGCTTCCGGGTGCTGGGGTGACCTGGGGTCACTGAGACCTCAGCCGTCACGGTCTGGGAGGACTTCCTGGGGAGACTTTGTACACAGAGCTGTCTGATGGGCAGTGGGGAGGTTTTGCCCTGGGAAGGAACATGGACAGTTGGTGACTTTTTCTTCTCTTGGAACTGCAGGACCAGCTCCAGCCCCAGCTGAAGTCCCACGTGTGGAGCCTGAGCCAGCTCCACCTGCAGCTTCCTGCCCAGCCCTGGGACCACAGCCAGAGTCCATGGCAGCCCCTTCACCTGCTGCAGTGCTGGGTCACCCGGTGGCTGCACGGCGGTCAGTGTCACCTCCTGAGCCCTGCCTGGGGCCAGCTCCTGGCCCCCTCCCACTGTTCCCCTCACTTACGGTGGCTCTTGTTTTGGTATTTACAATTGCCCTTATTTCTTGGATTTATATAAATAATAGAACTAGTTTTTAATAAAACTTAAAATTTTAGTGTTTAAAAGGGTCAGCGTGGTGGCCTGAAGTGCCTTCTCCCGTGTGCGCCCATCCCCAGAGCACTGTGCTTGGTGGCTCCCGCCCACACCCCTGGCCACTGCTCCTGTCGTGTCCCCATGGGCACCTGGCCTGCAGGGTTCACACCAGTGCAGTCGGACTTGCCTTTGGCCACACAGTCGTGAGAGGGGCTGATGAATCTTGCGCTATGCAGAAGGGGAAACCCTAGAAAGATCCCGGCCATTTTTCATTGGCTTCTTCAGTAGGTAATCCAGGTTGTGTTGCCAGACAGGATGTATTTATCACAGTAAGATAACATATGCAGTCTGAATGAAGGACAGGTGAAAGGCACCGTCGCAGGAAACCCACTGGGCCGTGGCCTCCCCTAGGCACCCCCTCCCTGTCTGCATCTCAGGGTTCAGGCTGTGTCTTCCCTGCCGGGAGGGGGTGTGCCACTCCTCAGCTCTCCTACCATCTCATTACGTGGGTGGGGACCTGGCCTGTCAAGCTCAACCCCACACATTCAGGGCCCCAGTGACACAGTTGGCTCAGCAGCCTCTGCCCTCCTGGTTCCAGGGTCCCCGGTGTCTGTGTCATCAATGCTGCTTTTTAGGGTGGAAGCCTGGCAGCGGAGACTCCAGTCATAGTCACAGGAGCGGGGCCAGCAATGAGCTCCTTCTGCGGAGTCTGCAGGGCAGAGCACACCGTCCTGGCCAAGCTCCAGGTGACCTCCCGGACATCAGCTCTGCAGGTCTTTGGGCTCACCCGGGGACAGTCTGCTCTGGTGCTGTCTGTCTCCGCTCAGAGGGTAGAGGGACAGGACAGCACAGCCCCAGCCTGCCTACTTGGAGATGGACGAACATTCTCTCCATCTCTATTAAATTTTACTTTTAAAATATGAAACCACAGAGCATCCTGGACAGCAGAGGCTGGAGGTTCCTGGGGGTGTATGGTCCAGCCCTGCCCATGGACTCAGGTCTTTACAAATCAATAAAACTTATTTTCAGTACTGGGGATTAAATTCAAGACCTTCTCACTGAGCCACATCAGCAGCCCATTTAATGTGTGATTGTGATTGTCAGAGTCTTCTCATTAAGTCGCCATCACCCAGCCTGGGCCTCCCAGAGTGCTGGGTAGCAGAGCTGAACCACCTCACCTGGCTTCATTGAGCGGCTCTGAAAAACGAATGGATCCTAATGGCTGGGTGTCCACCATTAACGCTTGGGTCAGCTCACCGTCTCTGGCTAGGGCTATGGGCTCCACCAGAGGGGGTGCTGCTCCCTGAGAGGCCAGTGAGTTGCTGCCTTGTGCCAGGTGAGTGACGTCATTCTGGGCGGGTGACCACAGGCTGAGACCTGACCTCCCTCCCACACTGCCCTGGTGTGCGCAGTCCCTGAGTGCTTTCCTCCTCTCCTCACGCTGAGCTGGGCAGAGAGCAGGGTGAGTCTGTCCCTGGGAGCCTGGGATGGCAGCCAGGGAGCTTCCTTCCAGGTGCCGGGACCGGCTGAGCTTCACTGCCCTAGGAGCCTGGGATGGAGGTGGGGAGCTTCCTTCCGGGTGGGAATGGCTGAGCGTCACTGCCATAGGAGCCTGGGATGGAGGCTGTGGAGCTTCCCTCTGGGTGCTAGGACCGGCTCACCTTCCTGGTCCTAGGGGCCTGGCATGGTAGTCAGGGAGCTAGAAACTGTTTCTTTTGGGCTGGGGCTGTAGCTCAGTAGCAGAGCACTTGCCTAGCATGCACAGGGCCCTGGGTTTGATGTGCACCATTGAAAACAAAAAAGTTTCCTCCTTTAGCACTGGAACCGTGAGAGTCTCTCTGGAAGCAGTAAGAGTCGCTGGGTGACCTTGTCTTTCACCTGGTGGTCCAGGCCAGAGGCATCACTGCTGTTTTGTGCTTTCCCAGTTCAGGCAGCCTGGAGGGCCTGCCTTCTGTGGTCCTTTATGGTCAAATCATCTTTGACCATGATGCCAAGAACACAGGATGAGGAAGGGACAGTCTCTTCAAACAATGGTGCTGAAAAAACTAGATAGCCACATGCAGAATGAAATTGGACCCTTATCTCACACCATATATAAAAATCAACTCAAACTTGATTAAAGACTTTAATGTAAGAACTGCAACTGTAAAACTAATAGCAGAAAACATGGAGAAAGTCTTCTTGATGTAGCTCTGGGCAATGATCTTATGTATATGACTCTGGTAAGAATTGTCCTCTGAACCTGAGCCAAAGTAACTCCATCTTGTACTGCACATCACCCCTCAGCCCGTGTAGCTGTTCAGTGGGTTCCTGGGCCCCCACCCCCACGAGGTTCTGAGGCTGCACACCAGACTGCAGCACAACGAACACCCCTCAGTGCACTGGACAGTGTTTCCTGAGATGGCTGGCATTTCCTGATAAAGGTTGGACAGGAGCAGAGTGCACACAACTTTTCCAAGAACCCATCATGCTTTTGATCCTGCTTTTGCTGTTTTAGTAATGTCCTATAAAACTAGTAGCCTAGCACCAGGGGCTTGGTGACTTCCGTGGTGCTGCAGCCCACAAGTCGTCCACTGCTTTGAAAGTAGCCCTAAAAATCTCAGGCCCTCTCCATGCTCGATTGGTCCAAGTTGTTCTTTGGTCTGTTAGCTCTGTTGCAGTTTGGAAGCAGACATTTCTCCTATATCTCTCTGGGAAATTTATGCGACAGATCCCAAAAGCCCAAGCAAAAATAGACAAATGGTGGGCCAGGGATTTAGCTCAGTGGTTCTGCTGCCCGCCTCGAAAGCAGAAGGACCCAAGTTCGATCCTCGGTACAAAAAAAAAAATTTAAATAGAGCTATTGTATGATTCAGCAATCCCACCTCTGCATATGTACAATATCCAAACAAAATAAAAATCAGTATCTCAGAGGTACTACACTCCCATGTTCATTGCAGCAATATTCAAAGATCTGTGATATGGAATCAATATAATTTTAGACAGATGAATGGATAAAAAATATATACATCCAATGGAATATTATTTTATTGTGCGTGTGCGTGTGTGTGTGTGTGTGGTACTGGAGATTGAAACCAGGGTCACTCTACCACTGAGCTATATCCCCAGACTCGTTTTTAATTTTTTTTTTTTTTTTGGTACCAGGGATCAAACTTGGGACCTTGCACTTGCAAGGCAGGCGGCAGAACTACTGAGCTAAATCCCCAACCCACCCTTTTAAAATTTTTGACACAAGGTCTTCCAGGCAGGGTTTGAGCTTGCAATTCTCCTCCCCTAGCCTCCCAAAGTGCAGGGATTACAGGAGTGCAGCACTATGACTGGCATATTCAATCTTAAGAAGGAAATCCACAGTCTGGGGCACTGCTGGCAACCCTATCCCACAGAGGGCTGTTTGCTATCACTGAAAGCTATAAAAGGTTTGCCCTCACTGTTCTGGGAGGTTAACGTAGAAGGATCACCTGGGTGATATAGCAACTTAAGACTCTTTCTCAAAATAAAAAATAGAAAGGATTGGGAATGTAGCTCAGTGCAAAGGCCCTGGGTTCAATCCCCAGTACATCAAAAAGAAAAAAAAGGGGAAATTTTACATTTACAACAATATGGATAAACTGGGAGGACATTCTGAAAGTGAAATAAGCCAAGCACAAAAAGAAAAGTGCTGTATGATCTCACTTATATGTGGAATCTAAAAAAGCTGAATTGGGGTTGAGGATGTAGCTCAGTGAAAGGTCTCACGTGGTATGCACAATGACCCAGGGCTGATCCCCAGGCACTATACACACAAAAAATTTTTTATTAAAAAAATAGAAGCAGAGGGCCGGGGATTTAGCTTAGTGGTTTCGCCACCTGCTGCACAAGCACAAGGACCCAAGTTCGATCCCCGGTACCGAAAAAAAAATTGAAGCAGAGAATAGAATAGTGGTTACTAGGGCTGGGGGAGGTAAATGGATGATTTTATACATTGCACTTCTGAAGGATGACTAAATTCTGGATTTCTTGTATGTTATTCATGTTCTGTTGCTATAACAGTATACCTAAGATTGAATCATTTATAAAAGAAAGATTAATTACCTCATGATTTGGGAATCTAGGAGCAGGCCACATCTGGAAAGGTGGGAGAGCAAGCAGGTGTGTGGAGAAGAGACAACACAGGAGGGGTGTCTGTGCTTTCTAACAACCCATTCTCGAGGTGACTGATCCAATCCCACTCGAACCCATCCTCGTAACAACCTGGTCACCTCTTCCAGGTCCAGCTACCTCTCATCGACATTGCCTTGGGGACCACAGAGTTTTGGAGGCCAAAAACCATCTCTAACACACAGCACATGGCAACTATAGTCAATAGTACTCTATCTGTAGGGTTGAAATTTGCTAAGAGAGTAGATCTTAAATCTTAGATCTTAAATTCTTTCAGAAAGCTTTAACATTTTAGCTCAATATTTAACAGAGCTGATTGGAAGTGTGAATTGTTAAATTATTATTATTATTATTTTGGCATTGCTGGGAATTGAACCCAGGATCTCATGCATGCTAGGCAAGCAGTCTACCACCGAGTTACATTCCAAGATTGGGAAGCAGATCTTAAATTTTCTTATCACACATACACAAAAGATAGTAACTATGTGAGGTGATGCTGTCAGTAATCATTTCTAATGTAGATGGATGTCAAAACATCTTGCTGTAACACTGTAAATACATACAACTTTTATTTGTCAGTTATACCTCAATAAAGCTGGAAAAGGCTTTATAATTGTTTTTTCCAGCAAAAATGTGAATTGTGCCTTTATAAATGGAATTTGATCGTTGCAGAGACTTTGAAAACAGAACTGCTCCGTAATCCACCTGTGGTGATTGTGGTTCACAGACCAGCAGCTTTGGTAGCATCCAGAAACTCATTAGAAATTCAGCGTCTCAAGCCCCACCCTGGAGTCCCCACCTGTGGAATCAGTCTCTTTGTGCTGATCATGAGTGCACTGGTGAAGGTGCCTTAAAGTTGCTTTTTTTTGTACCAGGGATCGAACTTGGGT